CATTTTGGTCAGACCTGTAAACTCTTGTGAAGCTGCGAAATTGTTTGAGTGAGTCACGGTGACCACGTGATTTAACAGGTCTTAACAGTGTGACCTGTGCGAGCTCCGCTGTGTCCCCCCCCCTCCCGCTAAACGGAACTGTGCCTGCTGCGTGCATATATCGGAGAATCCACGAAGAAGATTGGGCACGTATCGATTGATTTCCGTTTTTCCACTTATTTAGTTCTTCAGTCCTTTGTTTGACTGGAACCAATCGATACAAATACGGTTGTGGATTTTCCGATTCTTCATTGTCGCTGGGAGGGGGAGGGGGTGTACGAGAATAGAGATGTTCATAGTTCCCGAACTTGCAGTTATGAAATTGCTGTTTCATGTAGCGGCTAGATTATAGCGAAACCAAAACAGCCAGCTGACCTGCCATCGTTTTTTTAACAACACCCTTACTAGTTACATTTTGATGCCACATAAAACGCTCGTGATAGTTTCTACGTTGGGTTTTCTGACCACACTCCAAGGTTTACTCATCTGTGCGGTCTCTTGGACGCGGAGGGGAAAAGAACTAAGGATTTGGGCACTGTTACACTAATACTACTCTGAAAACTTGCAAAAAAGTTTCGCTGAAGCTTCCTCTATAGATGCGATTCGCTTCCCTGATCACCAATATGATATCTATTTCAGCGCTGGCGTCATTTGACGCCAATAGGCGGCACTAACGCCCTTTCCTCACAAAAAGGTACAAACTTGCCTACCACGGTTATTTGGCATCCTACTTTCGAATATAACATGCTTCTTAGCGCCAATACTAACGCAGGTCACTGTGGTCATCTACACTATGCTAAGTCTGTAAGTGGCTAGAAGGAGATCACTTCTTTCCCAGGCTTTATTCCTTATAAACTTTCTGCAATTGATTTTTTCTTCCTTTCCTTACTGAGGAGCACGGAAGGAGGAATATGCTTTTGCTCGGCTTCCGTCTAAGGGCACGTGCGAAACGGAAGCTGAGCTATCTCTTTGCTTTCGACCCCCCCCCTCAATAATTCTCATTTATTAGATTTTACAACATAGTTCCATTAATCTCAGTTTCAATGATTTTATTAGCCTTAGCAGAACACTAAACTGCGCTGGGGTCAATGAAATGAATGTCATGTTGGTGATCAGGATACCAAACAATCCCATTATGGAAGTTTTCATCAATTTTTGTGGAAAAGGGTGGTGGCGCCAAAACGACGCATCCTGGCGCTCAAAGGCGCCAACGACGAAAACGAGTGTCTTGTTTGTGACTAAGTTCCAAATTTATGAAATCCATAGGGGGAGGGGTTCGTGTGGGCGCCTGGACGGGGGCGGTTCGTATTTTGCTCGTCTTGTGCGGAAAAGATGGAGCCGTACTTTAGTCTTTGCCCGAAAGCAAATTTGCCTTTTTGCAAACCTTTCTTCCTAGGTTCTGACTTTCTTACCGCTTTCAGGCTTTTTTCCCGTTTTTTCCATTTCCAATGCTGCTGGTATACCCCTACACCTACCCCCCTTCAGACAGCAAATTCTTTGGGAGACGCTGGAAAATGCAAAAAGTTTCCAAAATAAGAAAGGAGGGACAGGCGTGATTTTTCATACGGTCTTTTCCCAAAAAGCAGAGAAATTGCTGATTGTGATCAGTAGCTGATAACCTTTACAAGAGGAGCGGTTTCAGCGAATTTTTTTTCGATTCGCGGCCGGGGTCGTGCTAGTGAGTAGAAGTCTATTCTGTTTGTATTGAACACCTACGCGTCTATTCGTACACTCGGGACCCTTTCTCTAATACCAGTCTCAGCTTAAACACTTGAAGCGGTTTTGAACAAAAATAGCTAACTAGAAATCGCAGTTGTTTGATATAATGAATATCGGCTCAAAGTGCAATGAGACGACAGACAGCTTTACTGTCTTTTTGGTTCCAAAAATCCGTTCTCGAATCGGGCAGCCAGAAAATTTGCATGTAAATCACGGGGTGCTGAATATGTGAATGACCCTAAGCACTGAGCACTGTACTCTTTTCATGCACGTCTGAACGAACAGAATTTAGAAATTTTCTCTCTTTTCTTCCATGCTTATTTCATCTTGTATCTTACAGGCGCTATGCATTCCCCGTAATGAACGTTGTGCGATCAAATGCATCAATTTGGAGAAGTGCCAGACGTCAGTCGATGAGCTCAGTCATGAGATTCAGGTGGGTGTTGAGTTTCAGACTGCCGTTGATCATATGACTGCGGCTAAAGTATAATGCTGACTTGTTAAAGGGACTGTCTAATCGGTAAAATTGAAAATATAGAACCAGGGCGCAGATCGGCGACGGTGGGTGGGAGGCATTTTCTACTTTTGCTGCTTCACTAGTTCCGGTTTACAAGTCTCACTCTTGTGAAACTGTAAATTCTTGTGAAGCGTTACCTGGTATTTCATTGGTTTGCAAGAATTGGCAGGTGGTACAGACTTTGGCCGGCTTCGAAGATTTACACTCGATGGATGGACACGTCGATGGGAAGTGACAAAAGGGCAACCCCTCCCCTCCTCTCGTCACCGTAGTGCGCCTAGAACCAGTAATCAAAATGCGCTCTGATGCTGAGTTGATAACTGTTGATTGCTGATGTTTGATCAGCTTCGGACAGACCATGAACCGTTCTTTTTCATTGTGTTTGGCTTTTTGTTAGGCCGCGTCCTTGCCTTGTGACAGTGAAGAATCGACGGTTTGAAGAAACTGTGAAGGGGATCGTTTACGTATCGATCTGAATAACCTGAATCGACGGAATAAAGATTAGTCGAATTGCGGAAATAGATCGATACGTATACATTCCTCTTCGCGTCAGTTCTTGCAAGGTGTGAACGCGCCCTATGCGATTACAGAGATGCTGAACCACTGACAAAATTGGCCGGCGCAGTTCAGCGACTTGAGGCGGGGGGGGCATTTCGCACTTTCGCTGCTTCACTAGTTCCGGTTTACAAGTCTCACTCTGAAACCTGTGAACTCTTGTGAAGCTGGAGCAAGCTCGTCGAGTCATCATGGTAGAAACCTGTCAACTCTTGTAAGCTCATGTAATTACTCCCTAGATGATTCGACCTGTCGTTTGTAAGTAGTTAAAATGCAAAACGCCCGACACCCCCCCCCAGACAGGAGTGCCGAACTGCCCAAATTGGCCATGTTAGCTGGTGCTCCTGTGAAGCAGTCAGATTCCCGTTCCATGCCCTGATTACAACCCAGAAGTGACGGTTCTGAACGTTGGTTATAAGTTTCAAGCCGCACTTAGAACGAAAGAGCGCCCACGAGTTAAGCAAGCTCTGGGTAGCACCTCGGTCAAGCATGCCCTTCTAACACTGCTTTCGTTTGCCTACGAATTTCCCTTTCATTAGCTACGCTGAATTATTTCTCCAGATTTCTTTGTCCATGAAATAAATATCCAAATAACTGGTACCTGTCCAACCTGCAAGGAGTTAATGTCCATTGCTTTTAGGCGATGTCATTATGTGCACACCCGAATGTGGTGAGCTATCATACGTCGTTCGTTGTGGGAGAGGAACTTTGGGTAGTTATGCGGCTGTTGAATAGCGGTTCAATGTTGGACATCTTGAAAAGGAAGATCAAGGTATTTTAAAGATTTTCGTTTTGCATCATTGCTGGTGCAGCCATAGCTTCTCACAAGATTACATGTTTGGGGAAAACAAGCGGGATACAGCACACCCGAGAGTTGCACGTGAAATTAAATGTCTCGGCTCCATGAATGCACAGTGCATGTCGATTTCGCTTCCTGGCCTTGCCCAAGAGGAAGCTCCTGGGTGAAGCCAGGAACCGAGAACGAGGCTAACTTCGCCTTCCACTAGGTCAGGGGCGAAAACTAAGTGGTGTTATGTGTACTCGCTGCCCTCGACGCTCTCACTTTTGGGAT